CCCAAGGCTGGGGTTTCTATGCACACCAAGGCAAACCAAACCAGCCAAACAGAGAGGATTTTAGTTTTACCCCACTGGCTAACCACAAGTCACACAATTTCCTTAGACACTCCAGTTTGCCAGTATCACCACCAGTGCCACTTGTTATGGGGACAAATGGTTATGAAAACCAATACACCAGTAAAAGAAAAAAGATTCTCCCAATCCCAAAGGACCAAACCACAGACCAAGGTCAATATATGTCAGATCTTACCCACAAATCACACTGTTGCCAATCCTTTAGAATTTAAAATCTAAAGGTTTATTCATAAAAGGAAAAAAGATGTAGATGAGAGCTCGAATTGGTTAAATGGAATCAATTACATACAGTAATGGCAAAGTTCTTGGTTCAGGCTTGTAGCAGCGATAGAATAAACTGCAGGTTTAAATCAAGTCTCTGGAACATCCCCAGCTGGGATGGGTCATTTATTCCTTTCTTTAGACTAGAGCTTCAGTGTGTAGCAAAGTACCTCCAGAGGTATGAAGCAGGTCTGAAGACAAGATGGAGGAGCTGCAGCAGTCTTTTATCGTCTGGCCTCTCTTTCTTTGTTCCAAAGACAAGCATTGGGGCACATGGCAAGAAAAAACCTTAGAGTTCTGTCCATAGCCATGTCCCTGCATTCCTTGCTGAGTCACAAGGTGTATCCGCCTTCCCTCAATGGGTCAATTGTAAGCTGATGGTCCTTAATGGGCCATCAAACAGGCTAGGCAGAGCTGACACCAACTTGTCTGGGGTGTCACCCAGAAGCAAAGCACACGTTTGAAATACAGACAGTATAGAGCCAATATTCATAACTTCAACTACAAAAATGATACACATATAGACAGCATAATTGTTGGCCAAATAGGGCCCGTTTCCCCTCGGAGCTTACCTAATTACACCAAGGAGGCACGGAGAGACATAAAGACAGGTACCAGGTTCTTTATTTGTCAGTCAGCTGAGAGGGTGCACCTCGGCTCGTGACAGAGGAGACACACGTTACATGGGCGACATAGGCCCTTTTTATAATCAGTAACAAACAACTCAGTTCTCATCCTTTTTACGTCATTATGCTGACCAATAGATAACAGGTTACACAGAATACATATTATTTTGGGGAAGGGGATACAAGAGACATCTGTTGCGGATACATTTATCATTTTCAAGGGAGAACACGGTACGTTCCTTGACCCTTTGCACTAAATACCTTGGGGATATATGGGAAAACAGCTGCAAACTAACTATCTCTCTGTTCCCTCCTTATCTCTATTATTTCTGCTAGTGTGAGAGAAACTGCAGCCATCTGCTAGAAACACTGACCAATACATTTCTACTTTAACATGTAAGCAGTTAGCACAGAAGTAGATGAGAGTTCACAAGATGGAGTCTGGGGGTTTCAGATAGGCCCAAAGCAAAAGAGTTTCATCGACACTTTGGCCTTCCGCTCTCCCGAGTTACCTGGTAGCTATGCCTAGTGGATCCCAACATAATCATAACCAGCAAACCATAACCTCTCCATAGACCCCTTACATGACAACTTTTATACAATATTTGCTGCAAATATATAACAGTGGTTGCACCAGTGATCTATACAGTTACAGATTATGTCAATGACGTCACAGCTCCATAACTGCTTTGGTGCTGCAAACAGCTGCAAAATGTCCATATTTCATGCAAATATTACACCGTGTGTCTCTGGCTGGGACATGCATCATCTCTTGGGCTAGGACATTTTCCTTGTGCATGTAGGCCAGGATTTGTTCCTCTTAGTTTGCGTGTTTATCCTCTGGCCTCAGGGGTATTATGATAATAAGCTTTAATAAGCTTCAAGTATCTGTTTAAACTTTCTAAGAATAAAGCTACACTAAAGCGTTTACAGCAGTGGATCTGCAGTGATGCAGTGGTGCTGCTGTAAGCTCTCTAATGTAACCACTCTGAGCTGACGGGAGAGCTCTCCAGTTGGCTTAACAACTGCAGCCTCATGAGCGGCAGTAGATATGTCAGTGGGAGAGCTTCTTCCACCCACATAGTGCTGTCCACACCGGTGCTTAGGTTGGTGAAACTTACATCGCTTGGGGGGGTGGCTTTTTCAGACCCCTGAGTGACATAAGTTCTACCACAGCAAGGGCTAGTGTAGACATTGCCTAAGCTAGTTTCACATTTTTCAAGTTGCTCCTGTCTTTGGTTCTGTTGTTTGACTAATTCAGACTGGTTTGCTATTTGAATAGCTGTGGCTAGAGTTAAATCTCTCTTCAGTTGTAGCTTCTGTGAAAGGATTTTTATCTGTTAACCCAATAACCAGCTTGTCTGTAATATTTTCAAACTTTGCATTCCCAAAATCACAGGTTTCAGCCTACATATGCGGAGTGCTTATAAAACATTCAAAACTTTCCCCCAGTTCTTGAGTTCTCTGGTGAAAACAAGCTCTTCCATAAGCAGCATTTTTCTGAGATATAAAGTATGCATCAAACATAGGCAGACCCCTTTCATAGTCACCTTTGTGACTGTCTTCAGTAATGTGAAAAGATTTAAACATATGTTCTGCCAGCTTCCCGTAGCCTACATTAAAGAAGATACCTGCGTCTCTCCAGTGTCTTTGTGCAGCTTGGCAGCAATGTGAAATCTTGTTTCCAGTGTGTTCATGGTGAAGTTTGTGAAAGCTGAAGTTCTCGGGGGCACTGAAGAGTGGCATGGTGATGAGATCCTGCAAAATTTGTAGCTTTGTTCTTTCTATTTTTGTTCTCAGTTTACTCCAGACACCATCGTGTTCTTCTGTACCAGACATGGACTGGTCACAGAGCTGGCTTTTACATACCACAATCCTTTAATGCTCTGCCAGATATGGCTGAGGTTAGCTTTAAAAAAGGTATTTTACACACATCACCACCTAGTGCCTGAGCGATATAATACAGTTTAGCACTCCATTACTCAGCGTGCGGGGATGTCACACTCCAGGTCGGGGGGAAGCCAGGCCTGAGGGTAGGGTGACCAGATGTCCTCATTTTATAGGCACAATCCTGATTTTTGGGTCTTTTTCTTATAGTGGCTCCTATTACCCCCCACCCCATCCCGATTTTTCACATTTGCTGTCTGGTCACCCTACCTGAGGGGAGCAGGGTGTATGGGACCTTCAGCGGTGCAGGCAGTGTGAAAGCAGGTGGCTTGGTTTGGAAGGGCTGGTGCAGTGTCACTGGTTCTGATGTCGCTCACCAGGTCTTGTCTTTTGCCAGCTACTTAGGGCTCTTCAGCACTAGAAACATTACAGTGGCACTGTGGCAGCTCTGCAGCTACAGCACTTCTGTGTAGATGCGACTGACGCCGACAGGAGAGGCAGGAGGGTCAATCCACCTCCCTGAGAGGCAGTAGAGAGGTCACTGAAATACAACATGCAGCGGAGTCTTTTCTCTCAGTGCATCAAGAGAGGCAGGGGAGAGCTCACTCAGGCCACTGCTTACATCAGCCAGTGTTTGGAGATCCCCAAGGTGACCAGCCATGGAGACAGAGACTTACCTCATCTCTTTGCTTTCTTTCAGCTTCCATGACAGGACTCCCCATGACAGGTAAATACAAACATAGGCAGAGGGTGTGGGGTATGTCCGTATGTGTGGGGTGCATGCTGCAGTGTGCAGCTATCTCATAAATTGGGGTGAGGAAGGGCAGAGTTAAGGTTATTTAATCTTGTCGTTCAAGTGTAGGACCTGGGTTCAAATCCTGCCTCCTCCAGACTCACCCCATAGTCTCAGCCCATCACTTCCTCAGTTTCCCCACCAGTTAATTGTTAACAAAGCGGGCTGTGTGGCAGAGGGAACAGAGCGCAGGGCATTCTGGCTGTTGGGTACCTGTGGAAATGCCCCAGCCATCCAGCGTCTCAAGTGCTTCCCCTTGCCCTGTAAGGCCGATTGAAATTTGGGCTCTGGCAGTGGCTGGCTGAGCCATGTCATTCTGGGGTGACCCCAGATTTACCCTGGGATAGGATCTGCCCCAACAGATATTTTTGCCTTTAGTTATTGTTAGAGCTGTTTCAGCTCAGCTCTGGCTGTGGCTGGTGAGTGGCCCCACCCCTGCAAAGGGCAAATGGAGGTGCTGTTTACCTACACTGGGGCACTCTGATGCTAGCTGGGACCTGTGGGAGGTGGGGGTGGGGTACCAGGAGCTGGGCTACTGAGGTGCCGTCGCCACAGGAGGCCCTCAGTTCAGCATGAGGCCGGCCCTGTCTGTCTGTGGAAAATAGAGGAGCCGAGTCAGCCCCAGTCAGGGCCAGTGGAGGCTTTGGGGGAGCAGAACTAAAGCCCTGTGAGGTTGCTGCTGTTGGCTCATGGTCAGACAGGGGCATCGGGCCACAGACGGGGAGGGAGCCCAGGCAGGGGCAAAGGGCATTTCAGTCTCCTGACCAGTTATGCCCTTTGCCCCTTGGCTGGGAGCCGCTCAGACTGAGGGCTGGCCTGGCCTGCACACACCTGTCCTGTCATGGAGGGGAATTAACCCCAGCAGCTCATTTCACATTTTGGGCATCAGAGAGCTTCAATGGCTGCGACTTCCACTCACTACCAGCTTGGACCCAGGGCCCCAGACGTGAAAGCCCAGTGCCTGTTCCCCCCATGCCAGCCATTGCCCCTGCCCGAGCTGGGGCCAAACTGGCACTGGTGCCATCCGGGGGAAAAGCCCCGGGTCTCCTTCCCCCAGTGTACTGCGTCAGCTCATCCCCATCGCACAGACTGTACTGGAGCCAGCATCTGCTGGGGGGAAAGACCTTGTGTCCCATTCTCCATCCCACAACTCAGCTATTCCCCCCTGCCTGGGGCTGGATCACAGTTGGTGACCTTGAGCGGGGACCCCCCAGTGTCCTATTCTCAGCCCCCCTGAGCCAGACAGTCTGCCACACTGGAACTGAAAGGGAGCCAGAATAAACAATAGGGAACAAGCCCCGTATTCCTTTCCTCTAGCCCATCCCTGAGTGTTTATTCCCTTGGGGTATTTGCAGATGCAGGCCTCTCAGAACTGGCTCATCTCCGACTGGTGAACGGTCCGAGTCGCTGCGCTGGGAGAGTTGAGGTGCTTCACAACCAGCTGTGGGGAACCGTGTGTGATGACTTCTGTGATTTAACGGAGGCCAGAATCGTGTGCAGGCATCTGGGCTGTGGGACGGCGTTATCAGCCCCACGTCAGTCTCGGTTTGGACAGGGAGCTGACCGTATCTGGCTGGATGAGGTTTACTGCACAGGGAGAGAAACTGCCCTCTCTGAATGCTGGGCTCCGCCTTGGGGAGAGCATAACTGTACCAGCAGAGAAGATGCCGGTGTTGTGTGCTCAGGTAACCTTCTTCCACCACCGTGCGCGTTGCAGGGAGGAGGGTGGGAAGCTCATTACGGGGATTGCCCCTTCTCAGCCAGTGCTGACCCCAGTATGGTGCTTGAGACCTGTGCTTCAGTCAATAATATGGTGGTTCCAGTAGGGAGCGCTCTCCTCTCAGTCTGAGCTGACCCCAATTCCCCTGTGCGGTTCTACGGGCCTGTGCTGCAGGGAGCGGTGTGGGGGCTCAGTAGGGGACGCTCACGCTCTCCCCTTGAAGTCAGTGCTGGCACCAGTGCCCTAGTGCAATGCCAAAGGGCCTGTGCTGGAGGTAAGGGGATGGGGTGTCAGTAGGGGGCGCTCTCCCTTTGCAGTTGTGCTGACACCAATGCCCTAGTGTGGTGCTATGGGCCCCTGGCATGAGGAAGCCTTGTCTGTGCCCGCTGGGGTTCAGCTCCCTGACTCTCCTGGCCACAAGCCACACAAGCCGTGCCCTTGAGGTCTCATGGGGTGGCCTCTCTCCGGGTTGGCAATAGGCATATTCCACCCCAGCCCTCTGAACATTCCCCTGCAGCACCCAGTCCCTGTCCCACTAGGCATTCACAGCAGTCACAGATCTGCTGCTCCCAAAGGAACAGGGCCCCCAGCTGACCAGCTCCACCTCCCATCTCTGCCCCAATCAACACACAGCTCTAGATCCCTTCATAGTCACACCAAGGACAAGTGATTTCACAGAGTGTAGAGATTCGAGGGGTACCAAGGAGAAGGGTTGGAAAGAAATGGTTCCATGGCCAATAAAATCATACCACGCTGACTAGCGCCTAGACTCATTGAACGAGATACTTTTCTGTCTGGTAGAGCAACGCTCACCCCACAGTCCTTCCAGGGTTTTACTCCAGCCTTGGCTGTGATCTCCTGTTCCTGAGACAAACACTGTCAGCTGCCTCCTGGGTGAAAGGGAGCTCTTGTCCCCTCTCCTCTTTCTTTGTAGGTTCAGACCATTGTCTCTTCCCAGAGGAGGTCTCTCTTCGGAGACTTGTGCTGAGAGTCCTTTGTCTTTGTAAATTCTCAGGCCCTCACTGGGCCCAGACAGTGAATATAGCCTGTCTCCGGCTGTGCTTTGTTCTATGTGCTGATTGGCTCAACCGAAGGGATTGCCATGGCGCAGATGACAAGCTTCACTTCAGCACTTCTAGAGCCTCATATTCTACATTTTACATCTCTCTTCAACTATGTCCCATACAAACATTTTGCCCCCATTAGGGCAACGATTGGGCTGCTGGCTCTTGGTAGAGACCTCACATGACACCCCTGATAAGTTATTGTGCATATATCTCACCCAGGGGATCCCCGTGAAACTCTAGGCATCCCTGTGCCCTCTGCCAGTTGGTGTTTAGTTATCTCTGGGCCAGACCCCTACGAAACAATGGGGACCTGGTAATTGCAGCTTCCACTGCTTGGATTTGCTGTCAATGGAGCCTGCAGCCGCTCACACAAACTAAAAATCCAGGGCCAATTCCTCAAGAGTCCAGTTCCTAATCACTGTGTTCCGGCGGATTTGCATCTCAGGAAATTAGCTCTGAACCTGTAATTTTCCCAAGAGCTGAGACAGAGGACATATGATTCTTCCTCACTTCCTGTCCTACACAGGCTACATATTTCCCTGTCCTGTTTCTCAGCTGCCCTGTCCTACCCCAGAAGTGGCTGCATGTCAGTGGGGGGAGTCTTCTTCTTTTGTGTATGTCACAAGTCAATATCTATGTAACCCTTCTGCCAATGGCGTCGGAAGTGACCAGGGCCGGGTTCAATATCTAGGGGTTCCTTTCCAGCAATATAACCCAGATCTGGCTTGAGCCCCTACCCAGTAACCTCAGCAATTACACTGCACCCCCTGGGTGCTTCTACGAGGCAAAGTTTCCCGTCTCGCAAGCACAGAGTCTCAGTGCAGAAAAGAAACTTTTTAATAAAAGGAGGGAAGCCCTGCACCATTAACTTGGGAAAACGCCACAAATAGCATTTATAAACATAAAATCATGAGCAAAACACCTATCCCAGAGTACGTTGGGCAGTGTCTTTTGCTTCAGGTTCTTGAGTCGAGCAACCAAAAGTCCCTTTAAGATGCCGCTCTCTTCTCCCTCCACCGCACCCCGCTCACAGTGGCTGTCCTTGGTTAGTGAAGACCCAGAGTTTAGAGGTGCACCTGTGTGAGTTCAGCTCCCACCATGCGGGCGGGGAGGAGAGCGCCTGGCTGATCTGCTGTCTGGGTGTTTGCTCTGGTGGCAGCTGCACGGCCAGCCACTCACCACTCTGCTCTCCCTCACCTTCTGCTGCCCCCGGCCTCTCTACTGTTACCACTGCAGGTCGCTCTCTTGAAGCTCCACCCAACTCTCAGTGACTGTCAGCTGCTAGTGGGGAAACCTGAATGATGAAGCAGGCTGGGCAGAAACACTGTCTCACAGCAGGTGATTTCAGCTCTAGTGATCACTGAAACCAAAAAGACTCCTAATGGAGCCTTAATTAACTCTATCTTTGAAGAGTGGTGAGGGGCAGATTAAATCATGTCTACACCTCTCACATAGAGCTGCCGCCCCTCAGCTGGAACACCCATCTCCACCCCCTCTCACTGTTGATGGGGTCTGGTGTCTGAGCCCCCTGGTTAGTGAGTTCAGTTCAGTTGTGGGTGAGCCCCTCTGTCAGAACAGGTTAAACCCAGTTCTGCTGCCCTTTACTGAGACAATCAGGATAACAACATTTCACTACCCCTGCATTTAAGTACTACAGTGATTTGTAACCCAGGACCAGCTAACACAGCTCTGTCTGCTGGATACTTAAGCAGCATGGGTGTGTTCATGTAAATACAGTCTGGTCCTGAAGTCTCTTCCCTTTCCTAGTTCATCACTATCTGTCAGGGGAGAGCTCATTCCGACCATGCTTACCTCAAGCTTGTTCAGCCACCTGACTGTGCATCCTTGAGGTCCAGACTTCTAATGATACTTTTCTCCTCCACCACATGTGATTGTCTCTATTGCTGCCCCACAGGCACACTGAGAAGATTGGGCTAAGTCAAATCTCTGCATTGCAGCAGTCCCTCTGGCCAGTCCAGACAGGGGCCCATTAAGCCTAGTCCAGGATCTACACCCCAGGTTGCAAATAGGCAGATACAAGTTAGGGGTTCTGAAAGTCCATGAGCACGCCAGTCTCTCTATCCCAGAGTTTCTGCCCCTCTGTGAGAACACAGCCATCAGTCCAGCTATGTCATCATTCACCCAAGACTGGTCCTGGGCTGGCAGCACTAGACACGAGCGCAGCAATGGCTGCCACAAAATGATGTTGCCAAGTCAGTCGTGGCAAGTCAGCAGGAACCGCAGGGGCAGGTGTTTGCTTCAGGAGGGGCTGATCTGCTTGTAGGAAGTGTGCATTGCCTCTGCCCTGGTCGGAACCATTGTCAGCCTGGTGCGCAGCAGGTTCCTGCCAGGCGTCCCTGCGCTCCAGGCAGTTCTAAGGGGGATGGACTCTGGGTGACAGTTTTCAGGGAGCGATGGAGCCAACACTTGTAAATTAGATGCTGATGTCAGGCTAAGGCAACCACTAATGACACGGGTGACTGTGTTCAGCTACCAATCACCGAGATGCTAATGCCAGCATCTGCCCTGCAGCACTGCACAGTATCGCACTCGAGCGAATACCAGCGCCAGGAGTGAGGGTGTAAATCTGCTCCCCAGGAGGTTCCTGCCAGCAGTACGGGGGTGATCTTTTTAAGTGCTCTAGTGAGAGAAGTAGGTCAGACTGCAGTCCAGTCTGCCTAATTAGGTGACAGTTGGCTGGGAGGGGAGTGGACAAACTTCAACATTGCCCATGTGATTAGCCTGGTCAGTGGTGGGGAGCCCTTGACAGGCAGTGGCTGTGTGCAGAGACTGGTCAGATCCGTCGGCGGGAGGCGCTACGTTCCCCAGCGACACGAGAGATCAGATGCACAGGAACCTCCCTGAGTGTTTATTCCCTTGGGTGTTTACAGGCTCCAACATCTCAGAAGTGGCTCAGCTCCGACTGGTGAACGGTTCAAGTCACTGCACTGGGAGAGTCGAGGTGTTTTATAACAAGAAGTGGGGAACCGTGTGTGATGACAGCTGGGACATAACTGATGCTGGAGTCGTGTGCAGGCAGCTGGGCTGTGGGACGGCATTATCAGCCCCAGGAGGGGCTCAATTTGGGCGAGGATCAGACCACATTTGGCTGGATAATGTCAACTGCATAGGCACAGAAGTTGCCCTCTCCCAATGCAGGGCTCAGCCTTGGGGAGACAATAACTGTAACCATGGAAAAGATGCCGGGGTTGTGTGCTCAGGTAACTTGCATCCATCACGTCACTGTGGGTGGTGCAGGGATCAGGCTGGGAAGCTTTCAGCACAGACCCAGCTCTCCTGTCTGAGTCAGCGCTGACTCCAGTGCCCCAGCATGGTGCTAAAGGCCTGTACTGCAGGGAGCCAGTTCGGCATCACAGTAAGTGTCGCTCTTCCCATGGTGTCAGTGCTGACCACATTTCCCCTCCACAGTTCTTCAATAGGTAGCTGTATTTGTGCTTCAGGCTGACCGGATGTAGATACACTACTTGAACCTTCAGATGACATGTTGATATATTCTTGGTTCTTGATGTGTTCTTCACTTTGGTTGGTTTTTGAGGCCTTTGAGTGGAAAAATTGTTGCATTGTTTTTCGTCCTTTCATTTTCACTTTGACCTGCAACATATAAAAGAGATATGAATAAATTAAATGTTTTGTTAGGATAATGCAAATTTAACATTAGGATAATGCAAAGTACACCAAAACACATAACAGTTCCAGATTTCTAAAACAAATGTAATTTTTTTTCATTAATTTAAATTGACTTTTGAAAAGTAAGCCATCATGGGATAAGAGGGAAGTCCTCTCATGGATCAGTAACTGGTTAAAAGATGGGAAACAAAGGGTAGGAATAAATTATCAGTTTTCAGAATGGAGAGAGATAAATAGTGCTATCCCTGAGGGGTTGTCAGTACTGGGACCATTACTGTTCAACATATCCATAAATGATCTGGAAAAATGGGTAAACAGTGAGGTGGCAAAATTTGCAGATGATACAAAACTATTCAAGATAGTGATGTCCAAAGCAGACTGTGAAGAGCTACAAAGGGATCTCACAAAACTGGTTGACTAGGCAACAAAATAGTAGATGAAATTCAATATAAGGAAAATATAATGCAAAGTAATGCACATTGGAAAACATAATCACAACTATACATACCAAATCGTGGGGTCTAAATTAGCTGTTAACACTCAAGAAAGAGATGCTGGAGTCATTGTGGATGGTTCTCTGAAAATATCCACTCAATGTGCAGAGGCAGTCAAAAAACAAACAAACAGAATGTTGGGAATCATTAAGAAAGGGATAGATAAGAAAGAAAATATCATATTGCCTCTATATAAATCCATGGTATGTGCACACCTTGAATGCTGTGTGCAGATCTGGTTACTCCATCCCCAAAAAGATATATTGAAATTGGAAAAGGTATAGAGATTTGCAATTAAAATTATTAGGGGTATGAAACAGGAGGAGAGATTAAAATGACCGGGAATTTTCAGATTAGAAAAGAGACAACTAAGGAGGGATATGATAGAGGTCTATCAAATCTTGACTGGTGGGAAGAAAGTGAATAAGGGAGTGTTATTTAATCCTTCACATAACACAAGAACTAGCAGTCACCCAATTAAATTAATAGGCAACAGGTTTAAAAAAAACCAAAAGGAAGTACTTCTTCACACAACATAAAGTCAACCCGTGGAACTTTTTGCCAGGGGATGCTGTGAAGACCAAAAGTATAACAGAATTTAAAAAAAACTAGATACATTCCCGGAGAATAGGTCCATCAGTGTCTATTAGCCAGGATGGGGAGGGATGCAACACCATGCTCTGAGTGTCCCTAGCCTGTTTGCCAGAAGCTGGGAATGGGCAACAGGGGATGGATCCCTTGATGATTACCTGTTCTGTTCATTCCCTCTGGGGCACCTGGCCTTGACCACTGTCGGAAGGCAGGATCCTGGGCTGTATGGACCATTGGTCTGACCCAGTATGGCCATTCGTATGTAAAAATTAATTATAACAATAAAGGTGTTTAGTACAGAAACTCCCCCACATAATGACCTCTCAAGATAGCAACGATGTGAGATAACCCTGGCAAATAATGCATTTTAAAAATCTTGGCCTACTAGGAAACATATTTATATAAGTTTCCATTTCCAGTCTCAAATCTAGCATTCTGGTGCAAAGTCACTAAAATATAGTCCAACAAACAAATGTTTATTTAATGTGCCCCTCACTTTTCCCTCCACTGCACCCCACGCACCGGTGTTGTCTTGGTCAGTGGAGACTCAGAGTTCAGAGTTGCTGTCACATGAGTTCACCTCCCAGTTGGGGGGCAAGAAGGCACCTTGCTTGTTCCTCCAGCTGCTCACTGTTCACTCTGGCCACTGTTGTGCATAGTGCCACTATTCACTCCATCACTCCGTTGCCAATGGCCCTGCGCAGTCACCTTCTGCTGCCACCTGCCACTGTGACCTCTGTGAGTTGGTCTCTTGAGGTTCCACCCAGCTCTCAGTGATTTCAGCTAAGCTCTTAGTGGGGGAACCTCACTGCTAGTGCAGGCTGGGCCATCTCTTCCACAGAAACATTGTCCCCACAGCAATACTGTCCCCACAGCAGGTCTAAGCACTTAGACCTGATTATCAGTGATTTTAGCTGTAGTGGTCACTTAACAAAACAAAAGACTATCTATGGAGTCTAATCAGCTCTGCCTTTAAACAGTGGAGAGGGGAGGTCAAATAATACTTGTGACTCAGACAGACCATCAAGCAAAACACCTGTCCCCACCCTCTCTCTTGATGCCCTCAATCAGCACAGGTTAAGTACAGTTCTACTGCCCTTTACTCATACAATAAGAACAACAACATTTCATTACCCCACTGCATTCAAGTGATTTGTAACCCAACCCCAGCCAAAATCTACCACTTGGGCAACACAGCTTTATTTGCTGGATACCTAGGTAGATTAGGTGTGAACGTAAATACAATCTGGTCCTGAAGCCTTTCCTCCCAGCCCCTAACTCATCACTAGCTATCAGGGAGAGCTCAGTTATAGATTTTGCCTACAAATCATAATTTGAAATTATTAGGTTGGCCAACATCACCGAAATGAATGCATTGACATTGTCATAAAAACAACAGCTGTACAAGGAAGCTAGTCTATGTTCATATTTTTCAAATCTATTATACTTTTTCAGATACACGAATTTTATGATACACTTTATATGCTTTTAAAATTTGTATTAATGTTTCAATTTCAAATCAAATTTCCAAACAATCACTAAATTGGCAACACTGCATGTAACAAGTTCACAAAACTGGGGCAGGGGGTGTTGGGGAAATTCAGAGGGGGTGTAGGGAAATCCCTGCCCTAAGGTCACTAGTGATCAGATGCACAGGAACCTCCCTGAATGTTTATTCCCTTGGGGCATTTGCAGATTCAGCCATTTCAGAGCAGATTTCACTCCGACTGGTGAACGGTCCGAGTCGCTGCGCTGGGAGAGTCGAGGTGCTTCTCAACCAGCAGTGGGGAACCGTGTGTGATCATGACTGGGACATAATTGATGCTGGAGTCGTGTGCAGGCAGCTGGAATGTGGGTTGCCATTATCAGCCCCAGGAAGGGCTCGATTTGGGCAAGGATCAAGGAATATCTGGCTGGATGTCATCAAGTGCACAGGGACAGAAGCTGCCCTCTCCGATTGCAAGGTTCGGCCTTGGGGAGACAGTGACTGTACCCACGGAGAAGATGTTGGTGTTGTGTGCTCAGGTAACCCTCCATGATGTTACTGTGGGTGCTGTTGGTTTCGGGCTGGGAAGCCTTCAGCACAGACCCAGCTCCCCTATCTTTGTCAGTGCTGACTCCAATGTCCCAGCATGGTTCTAAGGGCCTGTCCTGCAGGGAACCCATTAGGGGTCACAGTAAGTGTCGTTGTTCCCATGGTGTCAGTGCCAACCCTATATCCCCTCCACAGTTCTCCATGCCTGTGCTGCAGGGAGCGGGATGGGGGCTCAGTATGGGGTGCTCTCCCCTCAAAGTCAGTGTTGGCCCCAGTGCCCCAGCACAGCACTTAGGTCCTGCGCTGCAGTGAGCAGTATGTGCACCTCAGTGAGAGACCCTCCCCGTCGCTGATCGCTCTGATCCCCCTGCCCCACTACAGCACAATGGGGTGCTGGGTAACCATAGATCCCATTTGTGGAATTTGGGGTTGAATGGATCCTGCAGCCACTCAGGGATCCTTTTATGAAGTGTGGGGTTCCTACCCCTATCACTCCAGGTGATTTCCATCTCAGTTAATTACCCCTGAACCTGTAATATCTCCCACTGCTGTGACTGGAGACAGGGTTCTTCCTCACTTCCTCTCTTAGAAAGCCTATGAGTTTCTGTGCCCTGTCTCTCAGCTGCCCTGTTCCACCCCAGAGGTGGCTGCATGTCAGTGGTGCGGAGTGAGTCCTTGATAGGCAGGCGCTGTATTTAGAGGCTATTCAGACCTGTCAGCAGGAGGCACTAAGTTCCCCAGCATCACTAGTGATCAGATGAACAGGAATCTCTCTGAGTTATTATTCCCTTGGGGTGTTTGCAGGCTCAGTCAGTCTAGGCTTTGCTCCACTCTGACTGGTGAACGGCCCGAGTTGCTCCGCTGAGAGAGTCAAGGTGCTTCACCACCAGCAGTGGGGAACCCTGTGTGATCCCAGCTGGCAGTTACCTGACTGTGCAGGCATGTGCAGGCAGCTAGGCTGTGGAACGGCGTTATCAGCCTGTAGTCGTATTGGAAAACCTGGGAGGTGGGCGGGTGCAAACCAGCCCACTCTTCAATGCCCTTCTCCCAGCCTAGCGGGAGGGACCACTGGACCCGGGGACCAAATGAATGCAGGGGATAACTAATGAAAAACAGAAATAGGAGTGAAGGTCATAGGTTCAAAACAAGGGTACCGGATGGGGACACTGAGCAGAGAACCCCAGACAGCGCCCACTGCTCCTCAAAGCTGTCAAGGGAGCTAGCGGACACTGCCCAGTGGAACTGTGCCCGGATGCGTGAGACGAGGGAGGAACGGATATAGGCCCCACAGTCGCAGAGCACCCCCTCGTCCATCCTCCTCCTCCTGGTGTTATAGATGGAAAGCTTGGCCAGGGCCAGGAGGAGGCTGACGAGGAGGTCTCGCGACTTCATGGGGCCATGGATGGGGTGTGCAAAGAGGACGAAGTGCAGGGAAAAGTGCAGCCAGAACCTCAACAAGAGGTTCTGGAGGAGCTGGAATAGGGACTGCAACCTGGCGCATTGAAGGTAGGTGTGTGCCAGGTTCTCCCTCACGCCGCAGAAGGGGCAGGCCTCAGGTACATGGGTGACCGTCATCAAGCGGGGAGGAGTGGTTGCTTTTTCTCCTTCACCTCCTTCTCTGCCTACAGCCTAACATGGAGGAGTGGTTAGTCCCTTCTCCCCCATCCCTCTGCCACTCCCACTGAACCCTCCTCCCCTGCGTATTGTCTAGGAGCATGCTGGACCGTTAATGTTGATTTTCAATAAGTCTTGGAGTGCTAGGAAAGCTCCAGCAGCCTGAAAGAAAGCTAATGTTGTGCCAATTTTTAAAAAGGTTAAAGTGATATCTCAGCTAATTACAGGCCTCTCAGCCTAACGTCAATCCCAGGAAAGACAATGGAATGACTGATATGGGAGTCGATCAATAAAGAATTAAAGGAGGGTAATGTAATTAATGCAAGTGAACATGGGTTTATGGAAAATAGATCTTGTCAAACTAACTTGATATCTTTTTTTGATGAGATTACCAGTTTGGTTGATAAAGCTAATAGTGTGGATGAAATAAACTTTAAGATACTGCACAACATTTTGATTAAGAAGCTAGAACAGTATAAAATTAACATGGCAGGGAGTGGTTCTTGGGTCTATGGTATTTAACGTTTTTATCAATGACTTGGAAAAAATATAAAATCATAGGTGTTAAAGTTTGCAGATGATACAAAAATCGGGGGAGGACACGTCACTGATTCAGAGTGATCTGGATTGCTTGATAAGCTAGGTGCAAGCAAACAATATACATTTTAACATGGCTAAATGTAAATAGCTACAGCTAGGAACAAAGAATGCAGATCATGTTTACATGGTGGGGGATTATATCCTGAGAAGCAGTGACTCAGAAAAAGATTTCCAGGTCATGGTGGACAATTAGTTGGGCATGAGCTCCCACTGAGACTCTGTGGTCAAAAGGGTTAATGCAAACCTGGGATGTATAAAGAGAGGAATCATGAGCAGGAGTAGAGAGGATATTTTACCTCTATATTTGGCACTGCTGTGACCATTGCAGGAATATTGTATTCAGTTCTGGTGCCCACAATCCAGGAAGGATGTTAATAAATTGGAGAGGGTCATAGAACAATCACAAGAATGATTAAAGGATAGGAAAATCTGCCTTGCAGTGACAGGCTCAAGGAGAAGGGTAAGAGGTGACTTGATCGCAGTCTACAAAAATCAACCTAGGGAACAAATATTTAATACTGGGCTCTTCAATCTAGCAGAGAAAGGTAGAACAGGATCCAATGGCTGGAAGTTGAAGCTAGACAAATTCAGAGTGGAAATGAAGCATACATTTAGAATGATGAGGGTAATTAACCACTTGTACAATTTACCACGGGTTGTGGTGGATTCTCCATTGCAGACAATTGTTGAGTCAAGAATGGATGTTTCTGTAAAAGCTCTGCTCTAGGAATTATTTTGGGAGAAGTTCTCTGCCCTGTGCTGGAGATCAGACTAGATGTTCACAAAGGTCCGTTCTAGCCTTGGAGTTGATGAATCTATGATGGCCTGCCCCGCTATGTCACAACGGGGCTCTGTGTAATCACAGGCCTCACTGGTTGGATATGGTGTCAAATTGAGCCCATAGCCAATTACATGGACTAGAAACGAGGGTCACTTTGCCAAGAGTAGGTCTGGTATCCCCATTGTTGTGGCCAATTTGCATCTTAGTTAATTAATCCTGAACCTGTAATGTTCTCCGGGAGCTATGATTGGACACAGGCTGCTTCCCCACTTCCTGTTCTAAACAGCTGGGCCATATTTCCCTGTCCTGTTTCTTAGCTGCCTGGCCCTAGACAAGAGGTGGCTTCATTTCAGTGGTGAGGAGAGATCCTGTTCTCCCATTCTCATGCGGTCTGTGTGTGGAGCCTGATCAGACTAATAGTTTAAGGCTGGAAGGCAGCATTTTGAGCACTGAGTCAGGCCATCGGCAAAACATGGCGACAGAATCTCTCTTGAGCCAAGTCCACAACTTCGGTTTGAGTTATCACAGATTTTTAAGAAAGACGCCCAGTCGTCTTCTTCCTGTATAGACTTAAAGTGCCAGAGTCTCTGCGTGCTGCCCCGTCCTGAGCGCTGACTCCGCAGCTCCCATTGGCCGCGGCTCCCATCCCCCTCCTGCACTCCAATCGCCTACCTGAGCCCTAAGCCCCCTTCCGCACCCAAACTACCTCCTGAAGCCTGCACCCTGCACCCCCTCCTGCACCCCAACCGGATGAAAGTGAGGGTGGGGGAGAGCGAGCGAGAGAGGGAGGGAGGCTGGAGTGAGCGAGGGCGTGGCCTCGGAGAAGGGGCCAGGGCAGGAGCGGGGCAGGAGTGTTTGGGTTTGTGCGATTAGACAGTTGGCAACCCTAATGGCAGCTCATGTGCATGTGACAGTGAGTGTATTTGAGGCAATGTGTGTGTGTGCATAAGGACCTATGCGGGTTGTGCATGGGACTCAGTGTGTGTCTGCTTGTGTAGCAGCGTATGTATGGGTGTATGGGTGTTTGTGTGAGTGAGTGCGCGCACACATGCACACAGGTGGTATGAAATAGAAATGGCTCCTCTCTGCTCTGTGCAGACACATACACCCCATCTGCATTTGGTGCTGTGTATCCGGGCATCTGGTGGCTGGGAACAGCCTCTCATGCTCTGTGCTTTGTGTTTCAGATCAGGGTCTACTGAGGCTGCGGCTGACGAATGGCTCAAGCCCCTGCTCCGGGCGAGTGGAGGTGCTGATTAACGACACCTGGGGTGCCGTGTGTGACGCCGGCTGGGGCCTGCCGGAGGCGGGGGTGGTGTGCAAACAGCTGGGCTGCGGCTCGGCGCTGTCAGCCTCAGGAGTTCAGTTTGGTCAAGGGGCCAGCGACGTCTGGCTGGACAGCGTTATGTGCTCAGGGCAGGAGTCTCTCATCAATGAGTGCCTACTGGGCCAGCGGGATCCCAGGCTGTGTGGCCGTGGCTCCGAGGCCAGCGTGGTGTGTGCTGGGCAGGCCGGTGAGTGCCCAGCGCCGTAGCCATGCCCATGTTCCTGCAGACACGGGGTGGGCGGGAGTGACACCCTGGCCATGCCAGGGGGAGGCCAGTCTCCAGGGGGGCAGCGCCAGGGTTCCTGCCCACCACACCGAGGTTACTGGCTGTCCCAGCGGTTCCCACAGCCCTGCTCAGCCTGGGGGACCATTCCTGGGTCTCTGAGCAGCCTCCTCCACCACAGGGCTCCCTCTCCTGCCAGCCCTGGCTCCGGTGCTGGAGGTTGCTACCCCTGTAGGCAGACCCAGAGCACAGATGAGGGGGGCAGTGAGCCTGTGGGGTCTGGGGGAGGAGTCTAGGGGGCAGGGCCTGTAGAAGCAGCTGGGGAGGGGCCTCTGCGAGCTGGTGCCCCACCACCAGCAAAAATCCACCTTGGGGAAACAGAAGCCCAGAGCCCTAGCAGAAGTGCCAGGTGAGAGGGATGGGGGAAGCCCCTGTGCCCTGAGCACAGTCCCCGGCAGAAGCACCGGGCAGGCGGGCGGGACGGGGGAAGCCCCAGATTGGGTGACCAGATGTCCAGTTTTTGACTGGAACACCTGGTCGAAAAGGGATCCTGGTGGCTACGGTTAGCACCGCTGACCGGGCAGTTGACTGTCTGGTTGGCGTCGCTGTGCAGCTGGGCTGGCAGGCTCCCTGAGGCTCCCAGGAAGCAACTGGCATGTCTCCCCTCCGGCTCCTACGCATAGGGCAGCCAGGTGGCCCCACACGCTACCCCCGCCCCAAGCACTGCCTCTGCAGCTCCCATTGTCCAGTAACCACGGGAAATGGGAGCTGTGGGGGTGGTGCCTGTGGACTGGGCAGCACACAGAGCCTCCTGGCCGCACCTCCTCATAAGAGCCGGAGAGGGGACATGCTGCTGCTTCTGGGAGCTGCTTGAGATAAGCGCCGCCTGGAGCCTGCACCCCTGAGTCCCTCCCGGGACCCAGCCCCCTTCCCCAACTCCAGCCCCGATCTCCCTCCTGCCCTCTGAATCCCTCAATCCCAGCCTGGAGCCCCCTCCTACATCCCAAACCCCTCATTCCCGGCCCCACCCCAGAACCCGCACCCCAGCTGGACCCCGCACCCCACCCCTGCACTCCAATCCCCCGCCCCAGCCCAAAGCCCCCACCTGCATCCCAAATCCCTCATCCCTGGCCACATATCAGAGTCTGCACTTCCAGCCAGAGCCCGTACCCCCCCAGCCCCCTGAGCCAGCCTGGTGAAAATGAGCAAGTGAGTGAGGGTGGGGAAAGCGAGCGACGGGGGGGGAGGGAATGAAGTGAGCGGGGGCGGGGACTTGGAGACGGGGCGGGGCATGGGCAGGGCATCAGAGGAGGAGCGGGACAGGGGGTGGGGCAAGGGTGTTCGGTTTTGTGCGAGTAGAAAGTTGGCAACCGCTGCAGCCCTGGGACTAGAGGAGTGCTTGCTCCCCACTGCAGCCCCGGGACTGTGGCAGGGGGGGACAGAGCTTCTCCGGCCTTGGGGCTGCAGTGGGGGGCGCAGAAAGGAGCAAATGGATTGTGGGGCCACAGTGCAGGGGTGGAATGGGTCAGGGCTGCGGGGGAAGGGGCAGAACAGGATGGGGCCGTGGACGGGGTTGCAGGCGGAAGAGGCAGGGAGGGGCCCCCACTTGCTGAGGTCCAAGGTGCCAGAAAACCTTAATCTGCCTCTGGCTGTGGGGGGCGCTGGGATAGGGTGACCATATTTCCCAAAGGGAAAACGGAACACCGCATGGGGCTAGCCCAAACCCTCCTCGCCCACCCTGCGGGGCTGGTCTGAGCCGCTCACACAAGTCCTGCCTGCCTCCTCATGCCAGGCTGGGCTGGTGTCACTATTCACCCGAGCCCTGCCTGCCCCCCACCAGACCCCTGCCTCACCCCCTGCACAGGGCGGCATCACCACCTGCCCCCCAATGTTCCTCTGCACCCCACTTTTTGACAAATGTCCACGTTTGCCAAAAAAAATTCGGGATGGCTATGACAGGGCTTAAAAAATGGACTGTCCTGGCCAAAACAGGATGTATGGTCACCCTACTGTGCATGGGGGACAGAGTCGGGCCCAGGGGGGTTATGGGGCAAGGGAGGGAGTCAGCCTTGGCAGGGGCCTGTGGGTGGGGAGGGAGTCGGTCTCAGGAGCTGTGTGGCAGAGATGGGGCACAGCTCATTGTCTGGCTCTCTCCCCAGGCCTTGGGCTACTCTGGTCTGTGCTCCTCGGCCTGGGTGCCCTTGTGGTGCTGATCTGTGGGGCCCTGCTCTGCTGGCGGATGCGTCAGAACAAAGCCGCTGGGAACCTCCTGGGTAAGAGGCCTGGACCCCGAGCGTTGTGCTGCAAGGCAGGGTGTCCCACAGGGGAGGGAAAGGGGGGCCTGGGACAAGGGCTGCCCTGCCATCCTAACCCAGGAATCCAGCCCCACTGGAGCCCAGTATCCCTGAGCTGCAGGCCAGTGCCCTGTCCATGCCCTGGGCTGCCTCCCTGCATGGGAACCTGCTGCTCTCACAGCTACTGGGGTCCCTGCTCTGGCTGCCACGCACAGGCCCAGTGTCCCGGCCTGCGGGTGCCCCATCCCTACAACCCTGCCCTGGCAGTGGGGTAGGGTTGCCAGGCATCCGTTTTTTGACTGGAACGCCCGGTTGAAAAGGGTCCCTGGTGGCTCCAGTCAGCACCGCTGAACTGGCCATTAAAAGTGCGGTCGGTGGGGCAGCAGGGCTAAGGCAGGCCTTCTCCCTGCCCTGGATCTGTGCAGCTCCCCGGAAGTGGCCACCATGTCCCTGAGACCTCTAGGTGCAGGGGTGATCAGGGAAGCTCTTCATGCTGCCCCTGCCTCCAGCGTCGGCTCCGCAGCTCTCATTGGCTGGGAATGAAGGTCTATGGGAGATGTGGGGGGCAGTGCGCTTCTGGTGGCTGCACTTCTGCCTTGGGGCCGGACATGCCAGCCACTTCCAGGATCAGCGCGGAGCCAGGACAGGTTGGGAGCCTGCCTTAAGCCCACTGTGTTGCCGACCAGGAGCTGCCTGAGGTAAGCTCTGCCTGGCCGGAGCCCGCAGCCTGAACCCCCTGCCCCAGGTCAAAACCCCCGCCCGCACCCTCCCT